AATGAGTTTCGTTGGACACCTCAAGGAAGGTCGCAAAATTTTCAAAATAGATAGAAAGTCACTTGCTGTTTGATATTCTTTTTATTGTCACTTCTAAAAAGCTGCAGTTTTTTAGTATTTCGCGGTTGAATTTCAAAATTCCTCGCTCCTTCAATTTTGAATGTCGCCATTTTTTTGTGCGGAACTCTTTGTATCTAACTGCCGTTGTCATGGTGAGGCAAATTTATTTACGGGCGCCATCTTGAAAGGTGGCAAAAAGGCGAGACTCTTAATAAAGTCCAAGTAAAATGTAAGTTTTAAATGAAGAATTCTGTCGAAAATTTTGGAAGCAAACCTAAACTGTCACCTTTGCACTTATGTATCAACATAGGAGAAGCCTGTTTTAGACCTAAATCTTGTCAGTGTTAAGAACTCATGGTTAAATCGTGCGCAACTTCACTTTTCGAAGGATAGCAACGCATCTTTCTATAAATTTTTCCTTAAACACTAAAGCTTGGTAAGAAATTGATCATTACCACTAAAGAATTTTTTGTTAATAAGCTTTTAAAGAGGCACATCATTATGCATAGGCCTAAGATAAATGCAAAAATTGTAGAACAAACATTTAGCAGCTTACAGCTATGTTACAGATTCCATAAAGTACATGCTTTTCTGATTAACCTGCTTTAAGTGATGCAAGAGCAAAAATAAAGTTTTAAAAGTATTGCTATCAGGCTATTAGACTCACTAAACACAAAAATTACTTTGATTCAATGTTTTGACCACTCTTTCTACAAGGTCACTCTACATAGGATAAGTGAAGTCCATTCTTTACTTTGGAAGAGTAGAATTCTGAAATTTCTCTTTTTAAATATAGAAGGACAACATTGTTTTGGTTTTGTAGAACCTACACTAAGCATTAAAGTGCTTGCTCACTTACTTCTAACAGAGGATCTTGTCTCCATTACATACCAATGTCCCAAAACCATCTTTAGTTGCTGTTTCCATGCATTGATTATATAAAGAATGACTTCAAAAATAATTCAGATATTTTTTATTTTAAATCAACATTATAAACTTTTATCAAAGGACACAGAGTAAATTAGTAAATTAGTATGTATAGATCAGAATCATAACTACATTTCTTGTTGAGAAATATATATACAGGATCACTTTTTCAATCAATGTGCCAGAACTCTTTCACTCTCCTTTTCATGGTATGACAAAGACAACTTTTATCTATGAAAGTCCTCGCTAATCAAATTTACAATAAAACAAGTTTCAACCCAAGCAAAAAACCCCAGCTTTCTGGCTTCTGAAATGGCTCACTGAAAAATATTCTTTCTTGAACTGTAAAACATGATCTTGAGCATAAAGCCTTAACTGAAGATTAACAATCATCACAACCTATGAAAGAGATTGTTGAAAAATACAAAAGTTTACCACTTCTGACATATTGTAAACAAATAGTAGCTAAGTTTGTTCTAAGAATCATATAATGTTGAGTTCTAGCTTGGTGTTTTGAGATTTTATGCTTCTTGACTGAGATTTTTAACTTCTTTTTGCAAAATACCTCTCAGTTGTATACAGAATGCAATAAGAATGACTTTAGCAATATTTACACTAACTCTTGATTAGCAATGGAAGTTTATGGAACTTACATTTTTGTACCAAGCTGCGCTTTGGCTTTTCCGTTTACAACCACAAATGGATATTACTCCTCCGGATGAAAATGGGTGGCAAACGAGTGACGGGAAACTGCAAGTCTGAAGTCGTATGGATGACCATTCCCCTAGCGCCGGATTCCCTACTTGATAACGTTCATTGTGGTTGTAAGACTAGCTGCAACGTGGCTGTAACTCCCAACGTTGTTCATGTAACAAAGCCGGAGTGAAGTACACGGATGTATGGTCGTGTACTGCATGCACGAATGTAGATATTGATGACGACAATGATGTTGAGGAAGAGGAGTTTTTAGATGATGACATTGACGACGAATTCGAGACAGACCTTTAAAAAAAGCGCGCCTTGTCTTGCACAATACGATTATAACTTTCAAAATATTATCTTCGCAACAATTGCTAAAATCCAACCTAATGCACGAGTGAAATATGTATTTCTTTCAGACATTTTATTTATGTTGCCAGTATTATCGTGCGGAATAGCTCTCTATTAGGTCTGACACTAGCACACAAAATATAAATAACATGAAGTTTCTTAGGGAAAATGGCGGATTTCGAAGTTGTAATGAGCTACAAATTTTAAAATTTTAATGTAATATAGCAATAAAACGGCAGCTTTTTGGAGATGACAAGAAGTAAAACTGCGTTAAGCATGTAAAAGTCGTTCTGTCTTGAATTTTTCACGACCTTCCTTGAGGTGTCCAACGGGAATGAAAGAAAATCGGTCACAGATCACGGACTATCTTGTCTCGTTTGCTTTGAGTACAACATTGTAGGAACCCTTTTAACATTCGTAAATTCAGGAAAACATTGACTGTCATAACAATTTTCCAGGGATATTTCCTCATCTTTTACGACGTTGTAGCGATTTGGATGGTCGAGGTTTTGTTAACAGCGGTATTATTTGTCAAGTCTTCGCCTCTACATTCTTGGTTACTTGGGCAAGAAGCCATTTGTATAAGTCTGCCAATTAATTCATAGGGCCAAAATCGTTGAAACGCAGAGAATCAATTATATTGTCGTGAAATTCGAGCAAGGCAAGGCGACATGTTTGAAATTAGCAGCTTTCTCTCGATATTTGATAAACGGAGTTGACAGAGAATAACAAAACGTAATTTGCATTATAGCTTCGTTTTGTCCGCATCGACATATCACAAAACAAAGAAATGAATCCGAAATGAAGGTGCAAGCTGTTCCATTAAGCAATTAAATTTATACACAAAATGTGTTTATATACAGTTGCGGAAAAGAAAAATTCTAAGTTTTAAGTACCTTATAGAAACTAGTGGCGGATTACTAATGACAAGGCCTGTAGACAAAGATAAAATTTTTGGTCTTTAAATCAGATAACTAATCCTCCGACTAAGCTCAGTTTTTAGATGGCACTTGAGTTCCTTGCGCTCCTTGCCTTCGCATTTCCCAGCTTATTTTTGTAAATCAAAGTATCGACAAGAAGAAATAAATTTAAAACTCAAACTGGGAAGATCCACAACTTCATGAGTTCTGAGCGTCTGCATTTGAACAATAGATCGTAAAGTTTTTAAATGCACAAATGGTCAAGTAAAGCATTTGAGTATTACGCAATGGAAAAAATGAAAAATTAACTATGTCTAGATACAACAGGCCTCTCGAAAGCCGCGGCCTGTAGGCTTGGCCTAATGAGTAATCTGCCACTGTTTAAGGTAATTGCGGCAGAAAATTACTCGTAAAAGTTTCTGAATTAATATTACTGTGCTGAGCCAACAACGCTGTAAAACTTTAATTAAGTACATCCTTCCTCATTCTACACTTGAAATATTCTGCGGTCAAATGGGTTTTGAGGCAAGCACACCAGCACTTTTCTCTTTTGTAGCACTATTATTTGGTCACTAATTTATGAAAGCAAAAATTGACTCTTAAATCCCCTCTGGGTAACATCTTTCTTTCTTAGCCCTCTAGGACCCGGACCTTTTTTAAAAGTTTGCACATATTTCATTTGGTGATTGTTGCCGTGGTGCAACAACGGGCTCTTTAGGCTGCATTTACACTATACCGGATTCGCTCATCACGACATCTTCATTTGCTTTAAAAACTAAACTGTTCTGCAAAAGCTAATTAAGCTGATGGATTTTGTCTATTTGATTTTGTTTCTGACGTTGAAAAACTTCATAGCCTTTTAATATAAAGAATATAAAACCTGCTACGATAGCAGGAATCTATTTCAGGTTGGTTTGCATTTTGCATCAATAATGTACGCAATAAACACCTTAAAACATTTAGTGTCATGTGCAAAGATATTTTTCTTTCTTTCTACCTCAACAATCGTATTTTCATACGAGTTCAGTGCGAAAAGTAAATATGGAAAAAGTGAAGACGACAAGAAAAGTTTGTCAAATATTGTTTAAGAAATAAAAGATGTTGACTAGGTATGCAAAGGCTTTTTCGCAGACCTTTGCATGGGAGAACTTAAAAGCATATAAATAACAATTCGAAACAAAAAAAATCAAAAAAAGCGTTTTAACTTTTCCTCTATAATTTGTTCATGATTGATTTGCAAATTCTCTTTAATTGATTGATTGATTTAATTGGTTAGTTTAAGATCAGTTTTGCACAGGATATGCAAACACAGCAATAGACCAATCAATTTATTGTGTCTATTTCATTGACATTATTGAAGTATCGTCGGATGTTCGCATATAACTCACCACCTGTTGTACGAGTTACAGCAGATTCACATAGACTACGTTGTTGAGCATTGTCAGGAACTCTAACTGTTTTCGTTTTCCTTTGTAGCTCTACCCATTCCATGTGAAAAATGGTAAGTAGCATCGCATGTTTTAGGTATCCAAAAGGCTTTGGAATCGGCTTAAGATGCAACATTGGGATTGTCATCGGTATAAAGTGTCTTCTATTTGGAGGCCAGACTTTTTTTCTGCTCAAAATGTAACAGCTCTCATATATTGTATAGATCAATGATGTAGATTATCTAAGATACTTTCATAATGTATTCTAACTAGAAATTTCCTTTCCCTTCCAAACGTATTCATCAAATCTGTATTGATCAATTTACTTCCGTTCCTTAATTGAAACAAAACTAAATTTTTGCATGTTTGAACATAACATCTCTTAATAATAAATCCCAAGACTTTTATTATTTTACCTTAGTTAAATAAATCGTTTGAAACTCTTTTAAGGACGATTACAATAATTTGCAGATGGTATACACATGTGTACATCTCATATGAAGGTAGACGCTTGGGTAGAAGTCTAATCTCTTTTTGCAACTTATTCTAATATCTTTTATATCGTACAAAATTACATTACCCAAATGGTATCAAGATTTCATTCTCTTTACTCTACGTCTGTACAGACTATGGACACTTTAATGTTCATTGCTTGGAACCTACTGTTAGAAGGACAGTAGTCAAAAAAGCGCGGCAAACGTGAAGTAGAAGATTATTTGATCAGTTGAAAAAAATCACAATTTGAGTTATTAAGGGCAAGTTATCGATTCATTCGAAGTCGCCTAGTCAAGGAATATGAAAAACACATACAGTAAACTGTATTACTTGTCCTCTTACCGTTGACAGGAAGTATTTTTAAACAGTCGAATATTATTCTTTGGAAATGAGCACTTATGTAAAAGGCGGAAAAAACAACTTAAGTTTGCGGTCGGAATGATTCATTCAGTCCTTTCTTCGTTATTGTTGCATGCGCCAAGCAAATAGAGGACGTGCTCGTACGCACGCAACACCAGTTTATGCTTCGTTATAAAATTAAAATTTCTGGAGACGCGATTATTTTGGGCTCGTGACTGGTACATGCCGTATTCTGTATTTTGTGATATTTGTTTAGCGATACATATACGAAGGAAAAGCATGTTTCTTAAAGATATGTTCTTGCAGAAGATCATAAACATTGTCACCATAAGTAGCTATTGTTATGATGATATAAGCTGATCAGTCATTCATGTAGATAATGGAAGGTGTTGTTAGCAAGTACTGGTCATTGGTAGATAAATATAAACTAGATGCAATACAGTTAAAGAGACTTGTAAATTAATGTAATGTTTTTGCTTATATCTACATCACCAAACAACATGACTGATAATGAAAAATACTAATAATACCAGCAATATTTAAAAGAACTAAAAAAACAGTTACAAATAAAACAAACATAAACAGTACTTGTTTCAAGTCTGTATTTATATTTTCCAGCAGATTTTACTCTGGCACTGCATATATCCGGAAATACATTAAAATTGAGTTCTTACGTTTGTTGCGATGATCGTATATGTCATCCAATGAAATTACAGAGTCAAGATTAAAGCCTATGAGGATTGGATTGCAAATTGTTTGAAAAGGAACATTTAAACTTTCACAAATTTTTTGATTATCTGAATGAAAAACGCTCCACAATACCCAGATGCGACTAGGCTCAGTTTTGCAAAGTTTTTCATCTCCTCATTTATCAATTAATAGAAGTAAAATGACATATTTGTATCAAAATCACACTCTTCAGTTGCATGCACAAAGATCTTTAATCGTGCATCAAATCATGCGTCAAATCTCTAAAACGTGCAGCTAGATGTAGAAGGCAACAGGACGTTTCCATTTATTCGTGATATATGTATCAAACAAGAATGGTATAATAAGTAGAATTCGAAAATCATAAGTAGTGAAATAATATTTCTTCGAAGCATTGAGTATTTGAATATTATCATAAAGATAACTGAAAACATACTAGTGTATAGTCATCCATGTTGTACTACTGCTTTTGGAAGTTGTTCTGTTAATAAGATACGAGCCCATGTTTTTACAGGGATTTAAAGAGGAATCTTACATGGCATATTAGAACTAGTAATAAGTTTTATATACTTAAATGGTAATTTTGTTGCGATATAGCACAGGTCTGCAGCGTACATACATTAACATAGCACCAAATGAGTATTCACACTCTGCGTGTGATTGTCTATGTCCAAATTTAAGAAATGTAAATGTAAATGCCTGTAACGACAACGGTACGTCGTGAACGAGTCTTAAAATCGTTTGAAATATCAAATCTTGTGCTGGCAGGCTGCCTTCGAAATGCAACACCCTCATGTGCTACTATCATTGCTTTATCTTTGCAAGGAATCTCCAGAAGTCTCAAACATAAGAAAGCTTTGTGAAGATACTACACAATACAGACAAGGCGGAGCGTGGACGCAAACTAAACCTCCACTCCTTTTAGTGCAGGTATTGGCTAGTTTGCATAAAGATGGTATTTAAACAATTTATTGCAATTGACTTGTATCTGATCATAAAATTAGAGTTTGTTCATGTCCTTTTAAACATATTCCTCGACACAAAATTGACCAATATTATCAAAATAACATGCTTGAGCATTACAAAGGAGATTTGAATGAATGAACAGCGCAGTTGCAGATTGTTGCCCATGCGAACAAAGCAGACACACAAACCAAATATTCAAGTGGTTGTCGAGCACCATATTCAACGAGTGTTGTAGCCAAAACCAACTTTCAACACGCCATTATAAATTCAAATTTAGTGCAAAGGAGAGTATAAAAAATCACGATAAGCAGAGAACCGACACACTTGGATATCAGTTGTGTGTTCAGTTCACTTCAAGTTCAAACTTTGAGATTTAGCAACAATTATGAAGGCGATCTTACCAACTTTCTTCACAATCCTTTTACTTTGTTTGGCATGCGTGTTTGGTATGTATGTTAAATTTTACCAAAGGCAGTCTGCAAAGCCTGCGTGGCAAGAAGGGGTGCAACAAAAATCCGTCCTTTTAGTTTGAAAATAATATGAAAGAAAATGCATTTTTTTAATTTTTTACTTGCTGTCGTGTCCACGTTTAGAATAATTGTTCGTATAATAACTTTAGTACAATGAGTCTTATCTGTTCGAGTTTTCTCTGATGTAGGTCTATGTAGTGGATTTAACATTTTACTATAGTTTTTCAAACAATTTAAAATCGTAATGCGTGCTTTGCTAATATTTAATTTTGTTTGGTAACTTCGTGTTTATACGTGGGATAATACATCGTGTTATGCGTGTGAGTGTCATATTGTTTAAGAGCATGGCGTGAGATCTGGCATGGATGAGTAAATATTACTAAAACTAGAATTAAGAACAGTTTTCAAGATAGTATTTATTAAGCACCTATGCAGCCCACGATGACTTCCTGCGCGTTCATTTCTCACGTTGATATGAAAGGCCAAAAAAGATTGCATTTTCTCTTCTAACCTCCTTCACGGCCAATTTCATAATAAATAATCTTTTTAGTCACTCATGATCATTTTACTAATATAACATTTACGTTCCAGGTCATTTTATCCGTGACGAGGCTGAAGACGAAATTTTCTCCCAAGATGAACAGACAGGTTCATATTACTCTTTATTACATATCATAAGCATAATCAGGGTAACATATCTAGGTAGCTACAAAATTCGGTCAATTTAAATTTACTTTGTAACTAAGACAATGTATGTTACAACATGGAGAGAGACTCCTAACTCCACTGCAGATATTTAAAACATGGCAAATCTCAGTCCCTCTTGTAATCAACAAGTAGGGCACTGCATATTAAGCATGCGCTTTTGTCCTGTGAATTTTCAAAATTTAGCACTGGATTTCACATGTGAATGGCGTCTTTGTCACATAGCTATTGAACTCCTTCTATCGAAAAATTTTAGGGAGTACTTGCAGTGCAGTAAAAGCCAGAATAGATTGTGGTTACGTGGGAATAAAACAGTCGGAATGCGAACATAACAACTGTTGCTGGGATAGCAGCAAGCCAAAAGACTATTTTTGTTTCTACAAAGGTAAACAAGTAGCATTACAATACTATACACAATCCTTCATTGGGAAAGCGAAACAAAAGGGTGTAGCTGCCATGTCTTTGTTATAATAAATAAAGAAGCACGGCACAGCACTGTATGGTATTGTATATTGTAGAAGAAGAAAATACCAAAATCGGAGGTACATTAAGGCACATACATAAGTTAAATATACCCCTATTCAAGAACCATGACGTTTTCGCACTAACTAGCGACACAAACCAAAATGGTCGTTTATAAACCCACTTTCGATTGAAAAGCAATTTACTTAACCTCTTTTTTGCTATTTTAAAGTGAAATTTAAACACCCATATATTTTATTGCAAGTCTTGGTACAGGGTATTTATTATATTTTAGGCAGCGAGTGCAAATCGGTGGACCCGACGCAGCGATTAGATTGCGGTTACTATGGAATCAAGGAAAAGGAATGTTTGACTAAAGGCTGCTGTTGGGACAAAGCTATGAAGGAGTTCCCTGGTGTTTTACCAAAGTATACAAACATTTAGTCATAAAAACGTAATATCACTGTAATCTTCACATTGTTGCAAAGTTTAAGATGTTATGCAAAATTTCGACCATTGCAGCTATAAATATTTAAACTATGGATTCACACACATATAGGTAGTGCTTGCGATGTTGTAAAACCACAAGACAGAATTGATTGCGGATACTTAGGAATAGATGAAAGCGAATGTGAAAAGAGAGAATGTTGCTGGGATAACAGCATACCTGGTGTCAACTACTGTTTTTACAAAGGTATAGAGTTTTCTATAACAGCCAGTGTTTCATGCTTTACGAAGTAGTGTGTTTTCTTTGCATAATTCCTTCTGTTGAATCGTTAGAGAGACTACTCAAAACAAATGTTTGACAGCCTGTCATATAACGGTTGCACGAGTAACAAAATAACAAAATAACCGCATGCACAATAATAGCAGTTGACCAAGTGTTCATCATAATAACAATCCCAAGATGCAATTGAATTAATACTATCTAATAATGCTAAATATTCCATAACTTATGTCAACAAAGTCAAAACGTGAAACTAATTTTTCTCAAAATGTTTTGTAGGAAGTGTTTGAACGACGATTTCTGGTACAAGGAACGATGTAGTACATTAGTATTGTCAAATTAACTATGGTTGTTGTAGTCAAATATATTCTTTTACTGTGGCATTGTTGTCTTGCATTAAATTTGCTAGTGTACGAGGCATTTGTCTTTTGTGAGAAAGCACACGACTTAATATAGACACACTATGTTTTACACAAACAACAAGCATGAGAATTTTATCATAGCATGACTTATTTGTTACATTGTGCTGCAAATGCAATTTCATTGCTAGCATTGTTCATTCAAGCGATAAAACCAATCCAAACGCGAGCATTTTACGCGCCTTGTGAGTTTATTCTGTTGAATACATTCATGGTAGGTCAATTTGCGCTCAATCAAAAGTGATCCTCTTAATGGCTGTTGCTGAGTCGGACATGAAATAACGAACAATAATAAGGTTTTATCTGCCTTTTACGTGAATCTTACAGTTAGAGTTCACCCAGTTTGACTAAGAAGCTTTTAGACGAAAGATTTGAACGAGTAACAACATCACTCGCCTATCTCTGAATATTTGCAAAGTTTCTTCTATTTGAACTCAAATATTAATTTGAAAGCTTAAACCATTACGTTACAGACTCAAACTGAAAAGTAAAAACTGTTGCGTTTTCTTCAAATATATGAGCCTGAATTACGGTTTGCGTCTTACTGAAGTGCTATCATGACTTCATTTAGCTGTGACTCGTTTTTTTGATTTCTGACATTGCTTTGTTGCTTAATCGAGGCTAAACTTATCTCACCCAAGTTTTTTCAGTTTGTTCTTTTACTGACCCGTACAGATGATCTACAAAACAGGCAATACCACAAGGTATGTAAGTTTACCGTTGACAGTGCTTAGATAAGATAACAGAATCAGAGCAGGGAAGTGGATTGGACGATTGAAACAATACAACGAATGCCAGTCTGGAAGGAAGTAGGAGCAGTTAAATTCAAAATGCGTGAAAGGCAATTTTTAGTCAGAATATCATTTATTTTGTGCAAAAATCATGAAATGACAAACGTAAATAATCAAAAATTACATTAATGAGATTAAAGCTCCCATATATCTTCTAACACACGCAAAGGGGAAGGAATGGTGTTAACTTTTGAAAATCTTTAAAGAAACGTGTACCACACAGATTTATAATATAGGGAGGCATCCCATTCGTAATCTGAACTTTGAAACACTTTGCAGCAAAGGTATGATAAGTTTAGTATTGAACAAGCACATAGTGCTGACATTTTCCATAAGCACTTTGAAAACTCTTTTTAACTTTAGAGGAACGCCAGAAGAATTTATGAGGCTGTGTGTACATTAGGATAGCGTGCATTAGAAATATAAGGTATGCTAGTGATTTACAAGGAAAAACATTATTGCTCAAAATCATTACTTTAACTATAAAGCTTATAACAAAGCTCAATTTACAAAACTAATCATGTCTTACGTATGTTTGCAGTATTATTTGCATTGAAGACGAGCAAAGAAAAGTGCTAAGACAATATTGTAATATGTAAATAATCATTATAAAGGTTTGTTCCCAACTCTAGTTTCTATCCACAAAAAAGGAAACTTGCGTGTACGTGTCACTGAGATTTAGGGTAAGCAAAAAAACAAATTGATAACAGTTTAACATTAAAAGAAAATGAACCCAAATAAATGTTTAAAGCCGAATGGCAATTATCTGAATCGCGACTGACAACTGGTGCCTATCTTGACTTTGAATTAACAAGCTTTTTCATGTATCACAATGCCACAAGACCTTAAATTTGAAAAACCTCAAAATCGATAAAAGATGACAGCTTTCAATTAATTCCTGTTTTTCGAGGTTTTTCCAAGCTATTCAAAACGTTTGCTTTGTTATACGACATCCAAGAAGTCCTACACCAATAAATTTATAATCCTCACTTTTCAAGGTTTCACTAAAGCATTTAGCACCTTCATGTATTACCTCAATATCATTAATTTTCAAATCAATAAGCTTACAATTCTTATTTTCTAAAGCTGCACTAAGATCTTTAGCACCTTCATTAGTCATTTCTACACCCCCTACATACAGTTTTTTCAGCTTGCAATTTTTGCTTTTCAAAGCTTCGCTCAGATATTTGATGAAATTAGATGTAACAAAACTACCACTTATAGCTAATTTAGTCAGTCTACAATTTTCATTTTGTAAAGCTCGCTCATATTTTTGGCATCTTCCTCAGTCAATTCAGCACAACTTATAAGCAAGTTTGTTAATTTGCATTTTTCACTTCCTAAAGCTTTGCTGAGATGTTTCAGAAAATGATCTGTTCGTTGAGAAATGTGAATATTCAGAGTGGTAAGTCTACAATTCTCACTTTCTAATGCTACACCAAGTTCTTTAGCGCTTTCTTCAACGATTTTAACTGTCCTTATGAGCAATGTTTTTAGTTTGCAGTTCTCCTTTTCAAAGCTTTACTAAGATATTCAACACAAAGATCTGGTAAATTAGAACTGTTAATTCTTAGAGAAGTAAGTTTACAGTTCTCTGATTCAAGAGCTTCACTAAAATCTTTCATACCTTCATTGGTAATTTGTAAAATGCTAACATTCAATTTCGTTAGTTTGCAGTTTTCACTTTTTAAGGCTTCACTGAGGTATCTAATGCAAAGATCGGTTGTATAGCTACCACAAATACTTAGTTCAGTAAGTTTACAAAATGGATTACTTAAAGCTTCAATAATGCATTTAGTAAAATGATCAGACATTTTATAATTATGGATGGTTAATTTAGTCAATTTGCAATCTTCGCTTTGCAAAGCTTCACTAAGGTATTTCGAAGAGTTATGTTCTAGTTTTGTGTTATAAATGCTCAATTCAGTAAGTTTACAATTTTTACTTTTTAAAGCTTCACTAAGAACCTCGACACCTCCTGTGGAAATTTTAGTTGTTTCGTAAGTTAACTTGGTCAGCTTGCAATTGGAGCTCTTTAAAGCTTCACTCACATATTCGGTGCTTTTATTTGAAAGATTAGATCCACCAATCAACAATTCAGTAATTGGACAGTTTTCGCTTTTTAAAGCGTCACTGAAATGTTTCAAAAAATAATTACCAAAATCACATCGTAAAAACGAGATTGAAGTTAGATTGCATGAGGCGTTGTTGGATACAAAGCTATGGTTATCAAGCATTTTGCATTTATCAAATACGATTTTTTTTATGTGTCTACATTCAGAGAGAAATTTGAATAATGCATTGCAATCAACTGGCGTAAAAGAGACATCACTTATAGAAATTTCTTCTGTTGCACTTTGTAATTTTGCACAAACTGATCTGATTACATCCCAGTCTTGTAATTCGTAAAGGCATTTGATGCCAAGAAAGCCAAGGGTTTTGCTACCATAGCTAGATTTTAGATGCAAGACCCATTTTGCAAGTCTAGAAATCCAAATACAGCATCATTAATCATTAATGTTCAATTATCAGAAAAAAACCTCAATGATTTCTCTTTAGCAATTTAAAAATTGACCATTGATTCTCTGGAGTCCATGCAAAGTAAACGTCTATATATTAATGCATCAAGCAACAGTCTATAAATTTCATATCTAAACGGGATCCACATTTCCAAATTTATTTGCAAAAATGACCTTTAATCATTCGTTAGATTCAAATGTAAGCTTCTGTCTCAAGGTTTTTACGGATCAAGTAATCCATTGGAAAAATATCAAAACTTCTAAGTTTCGAAAAACCAAAGCAAACAGCAAATATTATGATATAAATTTTTAATCAGTGCAGCTAAATCAAAACAAGTTCATGAAAACAGGTTCTTGGTATGTAAACGAAAATTACTTCTAAACAATCACCAATATATTTCAATTTTGAGCATTATACACAATGATTTGAATTCATTATTGTTAATTATTCAATTTAAAGATTACTTCATATGCAATACTTTGAAAGTTGAACAATTCTAAATATAAACAAATTGTGCATCAGTATTTTCATACGAAACTATACGAATTATTAATTTTGCATCTATAAATAAAAATCTGGTAATACCATATAATCACATTTATGGTTAATCTCAAATTTTAACAATAATCTTTGAGAAAATACGCAAACATTTTCAAAACAAATTTTTGCATTCTAGATTTTGATTTAACCTCATTGTTTTTCATATTGTAGTTCATAACAAAACCGGAGTAAACAGAACAAATACGAAAAAGCAGTAAAATGAGAAATATCAATGGTATTTTCAAATGATCAAAACTTTAAATAAAACAATCATTGGCATATTCATAACTCTAAAAATCAGACGTAATAACGCTATACCTCATTTGAACATCATCGATATTCAATCTTTTATTCTCTTTCTTCGAGTCGCCAACTAAACCAGCAACAAACTCTATCACCAAATGCCATTTAGGATCTGCCCGATGATCATCCAAAAACTTTCCAATGCTTTTCCAGTCGTCAACAACGCACCATGCAGCAAGAAACTCTTGAAGAGTCAAATGAAGAAAGCAAAAATAATTACGTCTTTTGTCTGGTATTTGGTGAAGTAAACCACAATTGACTACATTTTCAAAGCCTGTAAGGTGTGTTTCATCAAAAATCAATTTCCCTTCCTCCATTCCTTTTTTTGCAAGTCTTTTCATCTTCTGTATTTCATCATCTAGCTCGCTTGGTAAAGGCTTTATAAGATAACCCCTGTCTGGCTTCGGTATTGATCCTGATTTGCAGCGTGGATGGTGTCTCCAGAGTAAGATTTTCACCACTCTTTTGTATAATTCCGTGATAGTCTTTGGAATATCCTCAGCATTATTGATGAAGCTTTCCTTCAAGGTCAGGCAGATGATGTAACAGTTAACGGGAATATAACACAAGCTACGAAGTTCTAGAGAACTGTCAATGCAATCGAAAATCTTTCTAGCAGTACTCTTGTCTTTCCAACAAAACTTGAAAACATATTCCTTAATCTGATCCTCAAAAAATCCCAGGATCTCCACAGTCCTTTGAAACCTTAGTAGTTCAAAGGCACGTTGCGCTGTGGGCCGCGATGTTATAAAAACAGTAACACCAGGCAGCAATCTTCCTTCAACTAACATACTCAGTAATGTAAACGCTGGCATTCTAGCATCAACACACACTGAGCCATCAGTTTCAAGACGTTCGTTGTCAAGAGCAAGTTCATCAAAACCGTCAAAAATAAGTACTGTTCTATCAGGATTTAACAGTACAAAATCATAAATTTGTGCAAACTGTCCAACAGAGTACCCATCACAATCTCCTAGCATTTCTTTAAGCGTCATGTCGTCTTCTTTAAACGAACGACATCGCATTAAAAGAACAATTTTATCATTCCAGAATTTGTCCGAAGTATTCTTCCATTCATGCATAAGCTTTCTCGTCAACATAGTTTTACCAATTCCTGGTCTTCCTATCACTAAAATGGATCGCGGATACAACTGATCTTTCTTACTCTGGACTGGCAAAAATATTTGTGTCGCACGTGTGATTTTTACAGCATCGTTTCTAATTTTGAGATGACAATGGAATATTTCATGCCTTTCAAAAGTGTCTGGGTAAGACTTTCTTAACTGTCTTTCAGCTTGCATTACAACGTTTACATAAACATCCTCAACATTTCGCCAGGAATTTGCATCATCTCCAAAATCCTCGTGTATTTCAAATATTTTGTGCGTATAAAATTTATGTTTGAGTTTTTCCAACCACTTACTTTTGCGCTTTTGTAATAAGTAAACCACACAAAATTCCTGCTCTGTCATCATGTAACTGTCATTGAAAGGTAAATACGCCAAGTAACACAGCTCTAAAGTTGTCAATATTATTACGATGACATCAACAAATGCAACAACCCAGATCAAAGTTTCGCTTTTATCACCTTTCGGATTCTTGCAATCAAATGATGTGACGTTGTGTGAGAATAGAAATTTGTGGTTTGATGAAGGGTTTTCTTTCATATTAGGATGCCATGAGCAGGAGTAGTCGATTGGAAACTTTGCTGAGAAAAGTATGGCAACAAATATAGACAATATGACATGCCGAGCAACCAAATAAAAGATGTAAATCAGAAATGTGGAAAAGCGAGATGCATTTTTGCTAGACAGAGGAGTGTCTGGAAAAACTTGTGGAACTAAGGCTTTATCACTTTCATCAACAAATTCTTTTAGATTGGGCTGAGCATATTTTTCAACTCTATTCTTCACTAGATATCCATAAATGAGAGTCGCAAGTAAAAAAATACCGAAGTTTAAAGTAATGATGAGAAATAACGGGAAGTTTATATTTATCTCTTCCTTGTATTTTCTCCAACAATCTGATTCAATATTTCTCAATAAAGATTCATCTTTAGTAGTTGGTATCACCCCTCTTGAGCAATAAAACGAAGTAACACCATACATATTGATTGAAATACCGAGAATTATCAAAAGGAATGTACCAAAGAAGACAAGCAGTAGTCTTTCGTATACGTTGAATGACTTGTGTGGAATATATTCAAGGCATTTATACATTTTTCGTTTCCTGTAAAAAGCAAAAGCACATTGATATACATCACTTATCAATTTTAGTAATATTGAACCAGTTCTCCATTTTTTAAACGTAATCAGTGTGTTCATTTTCACCAATTTATTTCTATATTTGTACTAAATTGGATTTTTCCATATCAACATTTTGTCACATGCCAATCACTTTAGAGACGAAATTGCTAAGAAAAGCTTAGGTTAACGAGTGTACAGCATGTAAAATGACAGGTCATGAGTACTCCGGAAAATTAAGCGAAAGCGATATTAGCTAGCTACATAGCTAGAAAATATATCTTGCAATTGCTTACCACACAATCCATAAGAGCTCTTGCTAAACAAGCTTAACTCATGAATAAAATCCTCCATTTAGGCCCGTTTCAAACGCTTTTACATGAGGCGAATGCATTAAAGACAAAAGAAAATGGGATAAAATGCCTTATTACCTTTCGTCTAAAATGCATTCGGCTCATGTAAAATGTGATTGAAACTGGGCCTTACACTGTTGAAGTTCTTCCATTGAAGTTAATTGCTCAAAGCTTGATGAGGCTCCTCCTGTCGTTTATCACAAACGCCCTCTTCTACGAAAGCCCATTGTATCTTT